GTGATTCTTGGAAATGCCCGTATTCCATCCTCACTCTTTCTTTGACACTGCCGTGCATGCCTTCTGGTACGTTGTCGAATTGGATCCAGAAGTGCTTTTTGAGGTGGTCCTGTCTGTATCTGAATGGCGTTTGTTGGTAGCTTGTGGCCTGTTTCCAGGGGTGAACTGTGACGACCGATGAATTGCAGGTGAAACATTTGTTCTTTAAGAATGACGCAAGGGCCTCTTCCATGCAAAGTACCATGATTACATTCCTTGACCTTGGGTGGAATGAGACCTTGGGATCAGTCCCTTGGATTGGTTCCAAGCTCTTCAGTTTTTCCCATATCCATCTCAGCTTTGCTTGTCTGTCCAGATCCTGACTTTTCTTCGCAAATGTAAACAGGACTGCATGTTTTTTGTGAAGCTCTTCCTGCTTGGATGTGAGTTCCTTAGGACATTCGTAGATTACAACTTCCTCTTTGTTGTTTCCTCCTTGGTCAATGAGTCTGGTTGTTTTGATAAGAGGTGTCCTTGTTTGTTCTGCAAGCCAATTTTGCATTTCAATTCCCATACCTTCCATCTTGCAGCGGGTCCCTGGTCTGGTACTGCGGAACGGGACGGGAACGTCACGTATTCGTAAGGGGTGTGCACTGGATGGCGCAGGCCGGTAGCTGATGCTGGAGCGTCAGATTGAAGGTCCGATAGAGTGGGCGAGGGGTTGGGGAGGGAACAGAGAGAAGAGCCAGTGCTGACTGTGGGCTACTGATGTTTCTGATAGCAATGAAAAGGTGATAATATGAAACAGTGGTGGAATGAAATAAATCTTATTAAAGAAATAGAAGAGTAAATAGCCTTAAAAGGACAATGATATAAAGGTAAAAAAAGAATTTTTAAAGTGATATTAGTGTTAATGTGTGCAGATCATAATAACTTACTGATTTGTGAATGTTAGACATGTTAGTGTCGATCTCCCTACGTAGCTTGGTCGACGCTCTGGCCAGTTGGACTGGGGTGGAAGAAAAAAAAAAAAAAAAAAAAAAGGGGGGGGGTGTGTTGAGTGCAGTGTGCGGTATGGGGGAGGAGGTGGATGGGTTCGGATGTATGATGTGGAGGATTGTGGAGGGAGGGTAGGGGGCGGAGATGAGTTAGCTGCTGTGTGTGTAGTGGGTTGGTGGAGAATAGGGGGGAAGAGTTCTTGATGACTTAGTGGTAGGGGGGCATCTGTAGAGGAGAGATGGTGGGGTGGCGGGTCAGGTGTTGTGGAGGGAAGAGTGGTACTCGACTGAGAGGAGGGCTTTAGCGGGGGGATAGTGAAATGCTCAGTGGCGGGAGTGTGGACGGGGTGCGATGTCGGAATGGAACTGGGGCTGGGGGTGAGAGGGATTGGAGCAGTTGGACGACGCTTACTTAGGTGTAGTGTGAGTTGGCTAGCGCGGGGTTGAAGTGGACGCGTCGGGATGTAGGTACGGAGCGGGGCGAGGGTTGAAGGTGAGAAGGATAAGGGCGGTTTGACGACCTGTGCTAAGGCGGGGCGTGAGCTGGCTGGCGCGGACCGGATACTGCAGATGACGCGTGAGGTTGTATGTGCGGAGCGGATGTGGGATTGGAGGCGAGGTGGAGAGGAGAGCCCGTAAATATCGTGGGCTAATAATGATAATGCTAATAATGGGATAGTTCCAATATCGCTGGACAGTGTGGGAAGGGGTTGAAGAAATGTTTGATAAGGGTAGGAGTTAGGTGTGTGCCGGGTCCGTGTGTGGCTGGGTTTGAGATGGGGGTGGGTTGGGAGTGGTATAGGATCTAGGTGTGATCAGTATGGGAGCAGGGTAGAGACTGCTTGGTTCGGGATGGGATCGTGGTATGATCTGGTTGGGATCGGGTTAGGGGTGGGATGTGAGTTGGGTGGGATCGGGATAGGGCGAGATGGGAGCGGGATGAGAATCGGGGTAGAAAACGGGCTGGGGTGGGATCGGGATGGAGGTGGGATGTAATCGTGGTGGGAGGGGATAGTGGAGAGCGGGGATCGGGATGGGTGGTGTCCGGAGGCTGGATAGTGGCGAGGTGGAAGCGGGATGGAAACAGGACGGGAGCCGGGTGGGACGGGATGGGGATTGGAAAGGGCCAGGATGTGATGGAATCGGTCGGATACTGTTGAGGAGAGTCGCCAGGGATGGTAATGGGGGGTGGTAGGGAACGCGACGGTACTGACGAGGGTACGGTATGGGGAGGGTTTGAGTCGGGGCAAGGTCGAAATGGGTCGGGTCTGGGGTTGGGCTGAGATCGGGGTGTTAGCTAAGTGAGGGTGTGGTGGGAGTAGAGTAGTATGGGGAGAGGGATGGAAGGGGGGGTTGGTGTAGAAATTGTGTTGGGGGTTGTGTGGTAGTATTATGGTGCCGGGTAGGGAGCAGGGTAGACTCGAGGCGGGAACGTGTTTGTGTTAGGGAGGGGGTCAGGGAGGTGGTGGGGTAGGGAAAGGAGGGGTTGGAGCTAGATGGGATCGAGATAGAGGGATGATCCGGGGGTGTACTTCCCGGGAGTAGGGGGCGCCGCGATTGCGTTGGGGGGAGAGATGTGTGTGGGCTGAAGTGGGAGGGAGGTGAGGATCGAACGAATGACACGGGCAGATTCGGAATTTCGGTAGTGGTGATTCTTACTCGAGTATGTGGTCGGGGGAGGGTGGTCGAGAGCGGGGCCTAGGGTAGGGATCGGGGGAAGGGAGGGGTGGAAAGAGGTGAGGGTAATAAGCRAGAATGGAAAAAGGGCAGCGGCTCGGGGAGATGGACTTCGGGATTTAGGGGGGTGGGGGGGAAGAAATCGAATGAAAGATTAGATGGCGATTAGCAGGGGGGCAGTCAGCAATTCTTCTGTTGGAGTCGTGGGCGGGGGGTATGCGTAGAGGATCGGTGATATGGCGAGAGAAAGGGGGGGGTGGAGAATGGGTGGAGGGGGAGGGGTGAAATCGTTGTGGGGGGGAATTCAGTTTTGGTTAGCTCTCACTTGTAGTAGTCTGATCGTTCTGGGGTGTCCTGTTGTAGCAAGCTGCTGGTCTCGTTTGTCTGTTCTTTGTTCTTCGTCCCTCCTGCGGCGCAGCCACCGCGTTGTGCAGAAGTCCCTCACTATTAGACGACGTCGACACTTGAGTGTGGCTTTAAAATCGGTCGAGARCTGTGTTGTCGTCTAGCCAGTTGGTTTCCTGAACCGGGATCCGACGTCCTGTGTTCGCCGGCAATTCTTCTCCCCTTGGCACGAGAACCCACTTGGTGCATCAATGATATCAGCCTTCTTTCCTCTTGGTAAAAACACGTTGGAGGCCTGGCGCGCGCGCGTCAGCTTTCTTCCCCGGAGTGTGTGGCTATGGCTGGGCAAGCTATGATTGAGTGTGGTGAGTGTTGTCGTTTCCGAATTCGGGTTCGACACGGGCGTTGTCGCGGCCCAAGCCCGCGACTTTCAAATTTGGATGTACGTCGGGTTGGCGCCCTTGCGGGCGCGGGAGGCCGAGGAACGTGTACAGCAAAATTAGTGCTAAAATCTGCGCTAACCGGAGGCGCGAGCGCGGAAAAACATCTCAGGATCAGTATTGTTGATTGTTGGGAACCCTGGTTTTGTGTAGTCGACGAGGAAGGATGTGAAAAAAGCACGGTAGCCTGACGGTTCTAGTCCATGGGAGAACTGGTAAGCTCTAGACGGCACAGATTCTTAGATAAGTAACCCACGTTCTCCTTGTTTCCTTGTAAAATTGTCCTTCAGCAGATCCACCCAACTCTCGGGGATCGTGCAGTTCAGATTCTCAGCTAGGCTGTGAGGCCGGACAGCTCTGTCCTCAGTTGCTGATCCTTCATCCACTCCTTTGCATCATTCCAGATGTGGCCGACTTCCCAGATTCTTCTGGCGATCCAAGATAGCCATCGACTATCCTGTAGCTGTGACTATCCTGTAGCCGTGCACTGTAACCACGCACTGTGATGCGAGCACTGTAGCAGCGTGAGGCAGACTGAATGAGCCACTGGGGCTGGCCACCCTTTTGTAGCGTGACCGGGCTTGGCCTGCGTCAGCTTGCCTCCTCCTACGGTGGAGATTTCTCGATCTGGGTGGCCCAGATTTGCTGCCGGCCTCAGTGTGCCTGGACCCAGTAGCCCCTGGAGTCTTCTGGAACAAATGCAGATACCCTTGATTGTGCATCTGATCCATGGCCATGGTTGACTGCTGAGAAATCTCTGACTCTTTGTCTTCTCTTCCCGGGTTGGGCCTGACTCTTAATTTTCCAAGAGTCAATTGTCTCACATATGGACTCAGGTTGCCTCATGTGACCCTGGACCCTATACCCCTTGACCCTAGAACTTTTCTCAGACCTTCTAAGACTGGAGATGCGACTTTTGAAACCTGAATGACGACCCTGACCTGTCTCTGCAGACTTATGAACTCAGTTCATTGCAAAAACTATCTTTTAAAAAAAGAAACAAACATTACTAATTTAGTAATTTACGGTATAAAATTACAAATGAGATGTTTTTTTTAATATCTACTGTATGACTCAAAGAGCTTTGCATGTTTTGCAATCCACTCCCCTCACCGGAATGAATGACTTGGGGTTGCCCTTCATTGGCAACTGGTCAACATTCACCCATTCTATTCATGCCTAATGAACTGTTGTTGTGTTCACATTGATTCGTGATCTCAGGTGATCAATGGAAAAAGGGGGGAAATGTGGTCATAGGCTCATACCCTCATTAGGCGATATGTGCTGCTGAATGTGTGCCTTTGTCCCCTTACAGGTGTGAAGCTGTGCAAATTGGGTTCACTTTTCCAAGACAGAGGAATGTTCTGCTGAGTGCCTTTTTGTCCTTGATCCCATCTCATTCCCTTTTCCCTCTCGTCCTTTTTGCCGTCAGTTCTCTCCATCCCATCTGTGGTCCGAGTATGCCCTGCCTCTTTCTTGTCGCATGACCCGTGTGGTACCATCTGTTCTGCAATCTAACGGCAATGTCTTGCCTGTCTTTTGCACTGGCCCATTCCATCAGGTATGCAGCACTTGCTGGGAAAGGACCACAAGACCAACCACCAAGCGTACTGGTATTATAATTGCTTCTGCTGTCTATCCGGCCATAGCTCTCTCTCTCTCTCCCGCCCCTCTCTCCCTCTACCAACCCCTGCCCACCTCTCCCTGCACCATCAGCTGCCCCCTCTGTCTCTTTCTTGTGTCCGAAGCACCAGGGATGAGCCTTCACTCAAACTCTCAATCCCAGGCCCTCTTTGTCAATACAAACGGGCAGGGACATTTTCAGAATGGTGCTGACAATTTTTCAAAGCGGTGCCATGGTCTTGCTTGCAGCGCACATTTCTCAGGACTGCACCACACCTTATTCAAAATCAATCTTTTTCTTCTTCGTCGTCGTCGTCTTCTTCTTCGTCGTCGTCGTCTTCTTCTTTGTCCTTCTTTGTCGCCTTCGTCGTCTTCTGCTTCTGCTTCTGCTTCTGCTTCTGCTTCTTCTTCTTCTTCTGCTGCTGCTGCTGCTGCTGCTTCTCCTCCTCTTCCTCCTCCCTCTTCCTCTTCGCCTTCCTCTTCCTCTTCCTCCGTCTGCTTCTGCTTCTGCTTCTTCTCCTCCTCCTCGTCCTGCTCCTTCTCCTTCTCCTCCTCCTCCTCCCCGTCCTGCTCCTTCTCCTTCTCCTCCTCCCCCTCCTCCTTCTGGTGTCTGGATGAGCTATTAAGCTGTGGATCAATGCTTGTTGGGCAGAGGGATCAATCACGTGAATCCTCTCTTTTTATTTTTCTTCTCCTTCTTCTTCTTCCTCCTCGTCCACCTGGTTATTTTGAGTTCTGGGTGTGCCATTACGCTGTGGATCGACTCTTCTGGGGCTGATAGATGCCCGGTTGGGCAATGTACATGGAGCCAAGGATCCGCAATGTGAGGAAAAGGACTGAATGGACAATTCAATGTCAGTGCAACATGGTCAAACGATACCATCTTTGGAGACAAGTTTTTTGCACTAGCGCCGCTGGTTAGCGCTACCGTCCCGCGCCACCACGCTACCACCCTTCACGAAGGCCGAGCCCTACCAGGCGCTCCTTCGCGAAACGCGCGGCAAGCCGAACGCGCGAATTCCAGCACGCGAATTTTCGAATCCGACCAAGTGGGAGTAAAGCAAGCCACGCCCTCGGGCGTGGCGACAAGGAATCCATAGCCATCATTTCCATCCTCAAAAGAGACAAGAAGGAGACGCGGCAGGATTGCAAGAATAGCAAAGGTGGGGTACAGACAAGGGAGGCATTGAGGATCTTGCAAAAGGACAACGGCGAGGGGGAGAAGAACACGAAAAGAAGTCGACCTCCTCCACACATTCGAGGGAAGAGAGCGAGGAAGCAAGAAGAAGTCGAGAAGAGAAGAGACAAAACACAGCAATCGGAAGTCCACAATTAGTAAAACCGGGAGGACAGCAATAAGGCCGATAGGACTGCAAACAAGAGGTCAGACAGGGTTTCCACTCCCTGCGTGGCTACTCGAGCTCCTTCCCGCGTGCGGGCAGGCGCTACCAGGTCAAAAAGAGAAGAGGAGACAAGATCAAGCGACACGGCACGCCACCGGACGTGGCCAGACCTAAAGGAGGAAAGAGACAAGAGAGAAGAGAGAGGGAGGAGAAAAGGCGGTCAGAGCTTCACGAATAGGTAGAAGGAGAAGCGACAGAGAAACAGGCCGGCAAACAATCCCACACAACACAAGCTCAGATCTTCACACCCAGGCTTGTCAGGTAAGCTCTCGTCGCCCACGTCTGAGACCAACAGCCAGAACGGTGTCCTTGCAGGTTCGGAGCAGCGATCTTCACAGGGAAACAAGCGACAGCTAGAACAAACTTTTTTCTCCGCAGAGGAAATTTTAACTACCAAAAACCACGACCGAAATCTCCTCTCGACAGACACGACCCCCTTCCCCACCACTACACACTTTCCCAATCGACAGACATGACCCCTCTCCCCCCACCCTCTCGGACCCGCACGTAAGCTACTAGCATCACAAGACACTACCCGATCGCTGTCACACTCACCATTAATCTTATTATTCGGACACAGTAATTGCTTTTACAACAACCAAGTCAATTCATTCAATCCATTATTACTATCATTATCGTGTATTAAAACAATTAACAATTATAAAGACCAACAGCATCATCAACAATAATTATCATTAAGACACCACAGATCCATTAACGCACTTTCAATAATATCTATATATTAAAAAAAAAAATTAAAAAAAAAATCCTATTGGTATAGTCGCATCTCGATTACTCCTCATCATCTAGCACTATTATCGAATTAAATTCCAACGCTATCTCATCCACCGTTTTAGCCAGCAACACCAATTCGATTGTCACCTTCCAAGTCGCGACTCCGTCGGCCTCATACTCTCTCGGAGGCCGATACCATCTCACACCCATCTCTAGTGCAATCCGCTAGAACAGAACCAAAGTAAAATAGGAATCCAACGGGGAAGAACCGTTATAACTTATAAGTAATGCTGTTTCCCCAGTCAATAACTCACTACAACACACAGCGTAGTGACCATCCAATGACTGTTGCTCTCAATAGCTCTTTGCTCATCGTCCATTCCTGTTAACACGAAGGAGCCAAAAGCTACTCTGTCGTTTCGTCTACCACAGCGGACCACTCTGTTTTGATCCCCACGTTCCCCAGAAGGGGAGGCGAAGCCTTGCTTTTTTCTTTTTCTTTTTCTTTTTTTTTTCTTTTTTTTTCCCTCGACAGCTGAACTCACACGCCGTAGAAAAAAGACTAGCACAGTCATCTCGTCAGTCCCACTCGCTACTTTTGATCCGATCGCACGCTCCCTAAAGGGGGGCAACGAAGCTTTACCTTGCTTGGGTACTCATCCATCTTACTTGGTTCAGATCCCTCGATCCCCAGGAGGGGAAACAACATCACTCCAGACCGGCGATGTCTTCCTCCCAAGCAGGCACGACCTCAGCCTCAGCCTCCACCAGCATGAGGAACACTCCCCAAAGGACCTTTCAGCAAGATGAGCAAGACCCCAGTCAGGAAGTTCTAAATCTAATGGTAAAAGAGACCAAAACAAAGTCCAACGTCAGAAAGGAGATGATCAAGGACAATGGAGTCGAACAGGAAGTTGAAGTCTGGGAATACCCCAAAGAAAACCTCCCAATCCTTGACGATTTTTACGAAACGCACGCTGTGGTATGCTCCTTTCCGGCAAAGACCAAACACCTTCCTCCAACAGAAAAGAGAAGAAGAGTGCGGGAATGCCTCAAGAACATAGAAAATATGAGGGAGACCGAACCCAAAGTCGCCTACCAACAGAGAGGGCGCAATGCAGTCACTGTCCTTTGCGCGGATCCCAACTATGCAAATGACCTTCTGGCAATACAAGCCCTGTACTGCGAGGGCTCAGTGATTACCATTGCTAAATGGAAGCCAAGCAGGTCTGCTCCACAAGGCACATCGCGTCACAGACAGTCACTAATGAACAAACACTTCTGGATACAATTTGACAATCTGACTGATGGTATGCACGACCTGGTTGAGGAGAGACTCAGCAAGTCGCTCCCCCAGTGCCCCCTCGTGGAATGGGTATCCTCAGCCCCAGGTTTCCTTACCCCTAGCGGTAACTTGAGGATTGCTTGCGTCGAACTCAAATCCAGCAACCCACTGATCCTGCCAGACAAATGGTTCTTCAGAATCGGGCAGAACATCCAAACAGTGTATGTCTCCACAAAGGCCAATCCCATGTGCTTCAGATGCAGAATCAAGGGCCACATGGGAAATGACCCTCTCTGCCCCCTCAACACATGCAAGGGAGAGGGCAGACGACTCAACCAGTCAATGTTGATCGAAGCGGAGGCAATGAAAGGCATCTGGATCATCAACGACCCAGCCTATGCAGGATGGGTCTTTGATGATCTGAAGGACATTCCAACCTGGGTGTGGACCTTGGACAATCCAGAGTCAGCAAGCAAACCAGACATTTCCCCCCCCCACGGTAGCAGATGGCAAACAAGCGGGGGGAAACGCAACGACAAGGCAACTCACAAATACGTTAGGCAAACACTGGGATCCTCCTTCGAATTGGAGCAGAGCATGCACAGAAATCAAATCATGGACGAAGTACACTGCATGGGGAGAGAAGCTGAGAGAGCATTTTTGGAAAACTTACAGACTAGAAAAGGTTTTCCGTTGAACAAATCATCCAAAACAGCTACCAGGGAACAAGTAGCCACAAAGAGGAAGGCAAGAAACGAGGACGAGGAAGACGAGGAAGAAACAGAAACGAAAAGTGCCACAGGACCTAAGAAAAGTAAAGAGAACGATCCAAAGGGGACCGGGTCAAACGAAGAAGAGATGCACACCGATGGGAATCTCCCAGGCAAGAGCTCAGAAATGACGGACGGAATTCCAGACTCAGCGAGCCAAGAAGACTCCTCCAGTTCGGTTGAATGGCTAACTGAATACATAGAATCTCTCCAAACAAAGAGGGAGATAGACCTGGAAATCGGATTCGCTCATGCCAGACACATCAGTGATCTTAAAAAATCAGAGTCCTCAGGCAACACAAGGGGTTTCCCGACCTCCCCAAATCCCTACGAATCACTGCAACCCGAGATAATTTTTTCAGAATTCGTGGCACAACAGTACGTGGATAATCAGGGAGAATGCATGGAAACCGAACTGCAAGATACAGCAGCACAAGCAAACACATGGCCTAACTCCTCCCTCAGAGAGGACAAGGGCAGACCTGACTCCAAAGAGGGAGAAAAGGATAAGCAAAAGGACCAAGGAAAGGAAGAGGACGAAATGATCTCCCTAGCATTGGATCTAGCCAAGGGAACGAAAAATCAGAAGAYGRAACTCAGAAGAAAAWTTGCCATTTTAGAGAGGCAAACGAGATTCCTTGAGGATCAGAACAACGAGCTGGGTGAAGGGACCTTATCCCTCAACAGAATCGCAGATGTCAAACCTCAGGAGCTGGCTCTCGCAACAAACATCGACGCCCGTTCCCTCTCACCGGTAATCCCCATTTTACCGGTTTGCTACGATCCTAAAAACGATC